CAGAGTAAAATCTCCGTTTTCAAATTCCTGCCGCGTAGTGTGGACGGGTCCCTAGTAAATAGTTTGCTTGCACACACCAGTGCAGTACTGTCGCGTGCAAGTGTTCAATTGGACCAGGCTAGGGTCCATCTCTTTGTAGCGGATTTCGACCGCCTTTGCGAAATGAGACCCCTAGGAAAAGTCGAAGAGCGAAAAGTAATCATGTTTAACTTTCGCGCACTTGTGGTTTTAAAATATAAATGGTTGAAACAAGGGATGTGCCAGTGTACACGGCCAAAGAATGTTTACGTTTATACTTAGTAATTAAATCAAAAGAATTCATATCAGAGTTCAGCATGCCTTTACAACGTTACAGAATTAAAAGGGATTTTTGCTATCTTGAGGGGAAGCGCAGGATCAAAGTTATTGTTACGTATTTGTTAAGTTGCATTGCTCCATGAGCCATCATATTTTACAAATTATTGATTCCCTTCGAAAACCTAATCAAATATTTATGCTACATGCTGACTATAGATAGCACGGCAATTCGTTAACTTCCTACAATGTAATGTTGAAAAACATCATTACAGCGTGAAAAAAGGTAAGGCAATACAATGAATGGCTTTTCGTCGCTCGAGTCTTGAATCCTTTCAGAGTGTTTTGGCTTCTCACAATTTTTTGGCAAAGCACAGCTTAGTATGTGGAGGTACGGTGGCGTCATGGTTAGTGCACCCGTCTCCGGAGCGAGCGGTCCGGGATCGAGTCCTAGCCGGTGACATTGTATTGTGTTCTTGGGTAAGACACTTTACTCTCAAAGTGCCTCTCTCCACCCAGGTGTATAAATGGGTACCGGCAAATGTCATGCTGGGGGTAACCCTGCGATGGACTAACATCCCATCCAGGGAGGAGTAGAAACACTCCTAGTTGCTTCATGCTAGTGAAACCAGAAATAATATAAGCGCCGGCCTGATGGGCCACTTGGCTCGTAAATCAGACTTTGCCAACCTTTAGCTTAGCAGGTTCAGTCCGGGTTTCTACGTTTTACTTTAAAAGTCGTTTGATTTAAAAAGTCCTTCAGTGTCGACAGGTTAAAATTCTCTATTCTTTATTCAAGTACTTTTCTCTATTTACACTTTTTAACGTTTTTCTCTACTGAGGAGATATAAATAGAACATTTTCACGTTCCTAGTATATCTGAAAACTCTGCATTAAAATTATGAATAAAGCCTGCACCTTACACGCCAAGATTAAAAAGTTCCACAATGGCTAAACCTCTGTTAAAATTCTTTTATGTTGTCTTTTTTACGTATTATGTTAAAAAATTCCACTACTGTAACTCAAAATATTTTATCAATTGAAAATAAAAATATCAATTCCCCCATGTATTACCCCTGGAAATTCGAACCAGACAGCGCGTCTTTTAGTGATATAATTTGTAAAATAACTATCATATAAAGCGCACCAGGTAGATACCAATATCAGAAATCAACAAATACTTGATTTGTAGAACAATGCTCAATAAATGATAGAAATTCTGGAAATCATTAAATTGATTTTCCTATCATTAACCTGCGATGGATTACACGATGAAAAAACAGAGCTCGAGTTTCCCTGCTTCCTTTTAAATTTTTATCAATTAGTACGAATTTATATACTTTTATTCCGTAATTTAGAGACAATTTTCTTCATTTAATACAGTATCGAGGTAATACACAATATGCAGAACTCCTTTAAGTCAAAATATTAACATTCCTAGTAGTCCTAGATGTTTACGTATTGCCATGCCACTCTGTAAATGATTAAATGCATTTTGACCTAAATGTTTTAAAATGATATTATCCTATCTATAATAATTAAGTATTGACCCCACCCAAACTTGATACAGATCACCTTAAGTGGGTAACTTGTACCCCATTTTGTACATAAATACTGGTCCATTTTTAACTAATATAAATACAAGTTAAATGTTAGATTCCCTGGCCTTTTTTAGCTTGTGAACGAGCTCGTCTACGTGCGTAAAAGAAAGAATTGAACCAATAGGAGACTTGAGTCTGTTCAGGTTTTTGTCGACTTCTCCTGATGTCTCGTCTTCTTTTGACGAACTTTCTTTGTCAATGTTGAGCCTGCGGTAGTTTTCATGGAAGCCCATCAGAATTGGAATGCAGCCCGCGCATGCTCCAAACATACACCAGTTCATCCATTCAGTGCCTGTGGGGGGAGGAGATATAGAAAATAGAAATTTGAAAAATAAGCCGTCGTGGTCCACGTTCCCCAGACAACGAAGAATTTGGTCGTTTCGCATTGTTTTTTTGCAGAAAACGGCAAAGAAATGCACCGTCGTGGTTTCTTAAACTCCCTCGTTTTGATTTATATACTACTGTCTGAACGAAAAGACAACATACTAGTTACACATCACACGAAGAACCACAAACCCATAAAATACTCTCGACAGTCACTGGGTTATGTAATATATCAAACACGAAAGACAGACTTGAAAATATGACGCGAAGTGGAGTATTTTTGACCAAATTCGAAGTGTTTGGACAGTCGATGAAACAGTGTCTCGACTGTTTGATATACCTTCTTAATCGAAACAAAAACTAAGGAGTAAACGGAGAAGTAAATGCTAATTAATGCTAATTAAGACCGGGTATCGAAGCCTCCTTTCTTTGTTTTAACTTGATGAATTATTAATGAGTTTGAGAACATCAAATCAAAACTGCTCTTACCGACTCCTGGTATCATCAAGACAAACAAGAAGATGACAGTGAAGGAATTGTTTATGAGTGTCAAGGCTCCTGTTGTGACGCCCTCAGCCACTGGGTATGTGGACTCAACTGTGAGCTCGTAGAATAGAGGAATCGTTCCACTGACGAAAAATCCGCCTAAAATACTAGACTTGTACAGGGCATCTGAAATGCGAAGTACACGTCAATTGAGAATGGAGTTTTTTTAGACAGCGAAGCCGCAACTCAATTGTGATCTTGCCTACATCTGCCAGGGTTGTCTGCGAACGATGGGTTAGAGTAAATACTGCAAGCGTGAGTTGGGTCTTCGTTGTCCTCTTGGCTCTGTCTCTCAGTATCGATGCATGATGGGTAAATTGGAAGGCAAGAAGCAACGAAGTCAAGCTATTGATGACAGATTGTCCGTTTGAAAGGTGGGGGAAGGGGGGAGGGAGAATTTACACGTATCATACAATATCCATTCGAACTGGAACCCTCCGTTTTACTAAAATACAGCTTTGCAGGTAACGTTTAGACAAGAACTACTTTTAACAAGATCCACTGACGAGAATAGTGCCGCGTCGCATGTTAGATTTATTAATTCAAAATTAAACAATTTTCATTATTCGACAAGGTAACTCAGGAAACTCAGGAAACGTGGGTTAGTGATGAGGGCCCTTATGTTGAAGCATCGTCCATTCCGGCCCCTTAAGATCAAGAACCTATTTAGGCTGGATAGGGTTGCTATGGATACCTCCCTGTTGTGCCTGAAATGCCCAGGCCCCTGTCGATCTACAAGGCACCAGTTCCCAAGCTCATCTATTCGTGTTGAGTTTAACTTACCGTCGTCATACTCTATCATCCTTAAACAGAGAAGTGAGAACCACAAGAAACAGCCCGAGGCTCCGAAGAACAACACGAGCAGAAGAGCCTTCATTTTCCCGCCAAACAGGTCAGCGCACCTCGCCAGAATCAAACCAGCTCCAATACCGGCTAATGTCGCATAAAACCCGATCAGGCCAGCCTCACTCTGAAAGAAAAGAATCGACTGAATTATTAAAATAATATAATATATAATTTCGAGTCAACTAATTATAAAAAATATATTATTGGTGCTGTGAGGGAGCCTGAAATATTTAGGGCGCGTTTTCAGGTCCTCAAACGTATTAAATTTACCATCTCGATGTTGAAGTTGATCATTTCAGAGTTTAATGCATACAGTTTTAGAGCGTTTTCCTTTCGTAGCAGTTTTCAAATTTGAATATAGTTTAGTATAAGCCTTAAAAACTACTGCACCTACCTGTCCGATGGAAAATGTCTCTAGATTAACTGCTAAGGAGGCGCCCCAACCACTGTATACACCTAGAGACAAGGATTAGATCAACAGTTTATCCTGTATCAGTTAATTTATTTATTGACTTAAGAACTGATAAAAAGCGTAGAAAAACATGTACTGAATACACAGGAAAATATGTGACCGACTGAATGCGCGGGAAAACACATAATTGACTGAATGCGTGGGAAAACATATCACCAATTGTACATTTTCCTTTCAAACTCACTTGGAATAATCTTTCTGTTGCAACTAAGAACTCGCGCTCAGTCTCGCATTTCGAGAAGAGTGCGAGACGTGAAAGGTGTCGAGTAAGATGTATGTAGATTTAAGTCGGTTGTGGTGATAATTTAATAGGCTTATTTAATTTTAATGTTTTATAAGCCATCCATCACGTGTTTTTAATATGAATGTAATTAGACATTTTTCCTTTTTACTCGATGTAAATTAATTCTGAAAAACCCATTTGGGTATTGTATTGTACTTCGAATTAACGAAAATCAGAAGTGGTGTTAGATTTTTGCGTTTGATCGCTGTGAAGTTCGAGATTGGTTCGCAGTTTTCATCTCATTGGCGAAGATCGGAGAAGACAACAACAACACCTTTGCTTTGATTAGAAGGGTCAAATTGCAGCTATGTCTTTCTCACAATTCAGCTGTCCTGAGGCTGTCAAAGTCGACAAAGTCCCTATTGCGCCTCAACCCGTCTTTGATCTACAGTCGAGCTTTATTTAAAGTATTAAAGATATAGGAAAATATGTTCTCAAAACAATGGCTTGTGTAGCATGCGAGGTTGTAAATGTTATGAGATTTGAAGGGCATACAGGGTACGTAAAAATTACTATGCAATATGTATTGGCAGAACATACCAGTTGTGACTCCGTAAACCAGCGCAAGAGTCCAGAACTGCTTATTCCTGTGAACAAATATTCACCGCAAAAGTTAGGATTTACCTAAGGAAATCACTTCAGCGAGCTAAACAGTGAGAGAGCCTCGGGGAGAGAGCCTATTGCATACAGGCGCTTTGTAATAACGTACTAAACTAATAATAATAAAAAGACAAGAAAATCTCATTGCACGAAGCCTGAAATGTCAATCACTTTCTCGCCTAAATCATCGCCGAAGGACTGATTGATACGAACATGAGACTGACACGAAAGACGTTAACCCTTTAATTCTCAAGACTGATCAAAAACTAATTTCACGTAACAAAATACCTATACTTTATCAAGCTAACAGGTGGCGAGGATAAAGAAAATTATCCCCTAAGTGATATCGTGTTGATGGAAAGCAAACTCTCAAAACTGACATTAAAAGATCTGTGGAGGCGCGGTGGCCTCATGGTTAGTGCGCTTGTCTCCAGATCGAGCGGTCCGGGTTCAAGCTCTGGCCGGGGACATAATGTTGTGTTCTTGGGCAACAATTTACTCTCACAGTGCCTCTATCCGCCGAGGCGAATTTAATGCGGGTCGCATGCAGACTTACGGCTATCAACGAACAAGTATAGGAAAAGTTTGACAAAATCAAGAAAGTGTTCCTTCTAAAGATAGAGACGATGATAAATATTTGTAATAAGCTCGTTTTGTTTTCCTTACTTCAGTATTTGTTTGGCGCCAGCAAAGAAATCATCTCTCTTTCTCTTGGCCGATTTACTCGGCGGCAACGGAGGCTTGTCTGGAAAATATATAAAGACTAGAACGAAAAGGAACGTCACCACAGCAAATTCTACAACAAAAATGAAAAAAAGAGGAAAATAAATGAGTAAATAACAAACAACAGACGCACTCTTGTACAGTATTTAACCCACTGACTCCTCTTTCGAAAGAGACTGGCGAGAAACACAACAAAAAAATTATAAACTATCGGGATTATGGCGTATTTTGAGGCTTACATACCGACATATAATAAAGCCATAATTTCGCTTTTGCCTTCCTTGATCAGTCTTGTTTTTGCTGAAAACAGAAAAGAAAAAACAAAAATCAACAAATAAACACAATCGACAATTATGTAGCCCACGAATATTACCGCCGCCTCTCGGGCGGTTTTGGCATTCCGGCCGGGAGCCGTGAGAGGAGGTTGTATTTTTAGGCTTAACACTAATGTAGTTTATTTTGTTTAATAACAACCGAGCAAATGAGTGACTGACCATAAGGTCCAGGTTTCTATCAAAGGTTTTTGAGCAGCATGAAGTTTGCATGATGTTCAGAATACTCTGGGATTTTCGTGCAAAACTCCGCCGCGACAAAACTCTACCGATTAGACTCGAAATAACAAATTGATGTCAGTTTTTCATGCGTCTGTCCTGTTATTGATGATGAATTTCGTCATAACATTGTCAAAGTAGCTGTGGATCCACGAGGCGATAGCCGAGTGGATCCGCAGACTACTTTGACAACGTGATGACGAAATTCATTGTCAATAACAGGACAGAAGCATTAAAAACTGACATCAATTTGTGTTTTACGATAGTAAATTGTCAAATTGTCCGCTCTCGTTTGTTGACGCATCGCAAAAATTATAAATTCATGTGTCTGTCCGCTTATTGACAATAACAATGAGCCAATGAGCGCGCGAGAATTTCTGCAGTCATCGTAAAATTAACAAATTATAGCATAGCGCGCGCGCTGGTTCTATCTAATTCCTATTGCGCCATCATGATAAAAATCTTTATGTACGCACGGCCGTGCTCAATAAAATGACGTGGCAGTTTCATTTCAGCTGCAAATTTACGTCGAGTTTAGTGCAAGTTCCTTTTGTTTAAGTTTCGGCAATGTGAAGATTATTCTGAACAATCCAAACCCTATACTTCGAGCCTTTGACTTTTGCTAAGTTAAGATGTTTACTTAAACTTGAGTATTTTGTCTTTGTTTGTCTACAATTTCATTGAGTATTTGTGACTTTGTTTGCTACATTTTCGATATAATTAATTTGAAGAAGCGAACTTTTAATTGACAATTTTAGAAACCAGGTTAAGCGTTTTCGTTCGACCGTTGCTCCACTCCACTGATTGTGGCGGCAGGATCCTAATGATCTTTGTTTTCCTTCACCGTGCATTGTGACTTTGTAGTCAATCACGAATAAAACATGTTTTGGCGCCCGAGCTGTTGTCGCCATGTTATAAAAGAATTGGTTCATGCTTTTAGCTGTGCGTATATCGAGTTATGGATGGACTTGGGAAGTTTGGAAGCGCTCAAGAAGCTACAGTTGCTCTCGGCTATCGCCTCGAACAACTCTTACGCTTTTTTCGTGCTCTCCAAACTTCCCGCGTGCATCCATAACTCGATATACGCACGCTAAGCATGAACCAATTCTTTATCACATCTGCAATGTCAACGAAGACGTCGAGAAACTAAAAGATCTTAATGAGCAGTTTAATGGCTCTGCGCATGCGCTATACGCTAGCGCCAGGATTAAAGGTTAACCGAGGTATGCATTTCTCTTCTATAAAAATGTTTCTCACGGCTTATGTTTTGCGCAGTTTGAGATTACTCAAATTCAAAACTGAAGGACAAACAATATAAACAGAAAACCTCACCGAAAAGTTACAACTCTGATATCAAACCTCTCGCTAATCGTGAGTTAGCTTGATCAGGCTTTGAAAAACCCGGCCGAGGAAAACAACGTGAAAACACCACGTCCGGCCTTTTTAGAACACAGAACCGCGACGGTGAATTGTTCTTCTTTATATGCGGAATTTACTGCTGTTTTCCCATGTCCAGCTGAAGAGCAATTCTGAGATGCAAGTAATTTATCTATTTCTTGGGTTCAATGTTTAACAGCTCATACGAGTAAAAATGCACGGTACTGTGGTTAGGTGTTTAATCTTACCTTTTTCTAGATCAGGACTTAGTCCAATTTTCGCAGTGCGTTGAAAAACTGCTTCAATTTCTCTTGGATGAAGTTTTCTTTCCCATACCGCTATTTCATCGTAAGCGGCTTTTGAAAAGACAAATTCATTATTTGGCCTTCCCAGAGTAAACGTCGTATGATAATTGTCTTTAGATTGAGTGGTTTTCCCCTTAGGGTCCCCTCCCACGTAGGTTCCATTAGCGTAGATTTCAAGACCGTCACGTTCATCCCACGTGAACGTCACGTGCGTCCAGTTGTTACGTGGTACGGCAAAGCTCCGTTTCCACAACACCGAACCGTTTTCTACTTTGATGGCTAAATGGTCTTCTCTGTCGTAAGGGAAATCTTGATATATCAGAAATCCTCTTAAGCCATCCTTGTTTCCGCTGGTTCCCATGAAATACTGCAGCCCGTTATCGTCGAGTATTTGGTACTTAATCCACAACGCCACAGTGAGACCATTCGGACATAGAGATGGGTTACTCACACACGTGTTAATAAAACTGCCAAAATTTACCCAAGCTCCTTTGCCATCTGTTTGTAAACTCTGATTGACAACACCTTGTGACACGACACAGTTATTGAATAAACGACCTTCCTGCTTTGTTTTCAAGTCTTTAACTGCCTTATTGACCTGCGCTTCCCAGTAGTCACCGGAAGTACGCGACGGCGGAATGTTGTTAGTGTCCTTTCTATCCTTCTTGACGGCCTGGACATTTTTTATTGTGATGTTTATTTCGTCTAATGGCCAGTAGTAGTTAGCGTCTCTATAGATGGAGTCTGGAAAATAGAAAACAAGCAGATTAATATTATGAAATAGAAATAATAACATAATAACAGGAGTAACCCAAGTATGGAGCTTAGGCGTTTTTGGATGTCTCCATTTTAGCCTGAAATGTCAGTCATCTCCCGCCATCTCCATCTTCATTGCGGTTGTTGTTGTTTTGTAATTTAGTTGATGTATTTATCGCAGAGAAAAGTGTAATTAATAAATACGAGTTAAGTTATCACACGACGTTAGAGTCAAAAGCAATTTTTTTGATTGAGTGAAAAATATATATCTGAAACCATGTACTGATGTCATGTCTGTCAGATGCATGTTCAACAAAAGCAAACAACACATAAACAAACAAACAAACAAGAAGGCAAACACATCGTGTTGAACAGTTGGACGGTGAGCTCGAGATTTCTATCGTGTGAAAGTTACCGGGCGATGTCAGGTGAAGCCAATAAAAATTATCGCTCGTTAGTTGGCCCCTGTGTAGCCAATCAGATTGCACATTTAAATGATAGTCGTGAGTGCTTTTTGTTCAATGATAATATGTGACGTCACAGATATATTCGCGTTTGGCAAAAAAAGGCATTTGTACGTAGCTCACCTGAATACAAAGTATTCCCATCGAGGTACAAGTCTAGTGTATCACTACAAAAAGAGAAGTAAAACAGGAATATTTAAGATGTAAAATAATTCTAACTCCAATGAGAAATTGCTATTGAAACAGCTAATAAACTGGACGCGCATGCCTGGAACACAGAAACAACGACGTGAGAGAGAAAAAAAGACTTAAATTTCAGTTCAGTTGGAATTTACAGTAGAACCTCGTTACTCAGTTATCTCGAACTCCCCGTTAATTTGAACTCGACGTTTTCCCTTGGATATACTTTTTCGGTTAATGACTATTCAACAATTAGATTATGAGCTCGAGAATTCTATCGCGTGATAACTGTCAACCATAGAAATAATCTAATAATCTACTTTTCGTTCAAACTACATCTTAATCACGATCCTCCTCACAGACACTTCGAAAACGCAAAGAAGCGGCCACCAGTTTGTGAGCAAGTGCATACTATTAGGCTACGCACTATCTACAACAGAATAGATAGTGAGTAGCGAAGACATTCAGAGAATGGCTTTCGTGATAGAGGGCTGTCAGTAAAGCCTACAAATGTCACGTGGAGACTACACATTAAAAAGCGCTCACCTTAAGTTTCCAGACACGTTTCCTCTATCAGGTATCATTCTTTCCAGTTCATACTTGATATCCTTGACAACTAACGGACCAACAACAAATGACATGGCCACACCCATTGACCCGCAAAGAGCAGCCACGGCA